CACATATAAAACACTCGGCTACGCGTCGTGTTTTATATGTGATAAAACACTCCTACTCGTTTATTAAACATTATAGATAATATATCGAAACTTCTATAGTATATCAAATTTCTTTAGAAAAAAGCTAGTAATAGCAGTTCATTATCGATCTGAGTGACAAGGCAGCATATTTACAAAGGGCTATATTCAACGGTGAATATCTCGAAAACGGTTGAGAGGCCGAGGGGGGCCGGCTGGATAGAATTAAAGATTATACTTTTATTTAATTAACTAATCGTGAAAATAATAGCGAAATCGAACCATGGAGATTTGAGATTTTTGTCTTCAAAGATTGTTGACAGAAACGCCATTAAATTACATCGCGACGTCATAGCGCCTAAGTGAGAGGTCAAAATAAACTGGAAAATGACGCTTACCTTTTAAGATACCGTTCCAATGGGTAGATTGACTGTTGTAGAAGTAGTATCGCGTGAAATATAGGTCTATTTCACGCGATACGGCAGCTATATATAGGTCTGTATTATCATAGTTACAATTCAACAAGCCTTATATATTTCTGCGCGAATTTACTGACTAGAACTGGCCAGCCAAATAGAATGTATAGCTATATCAAGAGACCGCAAACAGTACACGAAATCTTTTTATTTTAAAATCAGTTTGCAAACGCCAAAGCTAGCGCAAATTTGTGTTTATATTATAAAGACCAATTTAGCGGAGACTCTTGTGTTCAGAAAGATGCAGTCATCTTTTGCTGACAGGTTAAGAAGATGTAGTCATATTTGCTTAACCAGTTGAACCTAAATTTTTATAATGAAAACACATTCCGGTATGCAACGAGTTCTATGGCATTGGTATATTATATGCAGATATTCATAACTCATTAAGCCTTTCTGCGCGAGTTGCAACTACATGTCATGGCTATTTTCATTTAGAATCTAACCATATAAAACCTATATGGGATATAGCTGAATACCCTCCCGTGTACAGGCTTCTGTAAGCAAATGTAAGCAATTGTATTGCATTTCACGGGATTTCACAAGACTATAGCAACTTATTTCTAAATATTGAACTAAACGCCACATGCTAATTTTATATACCCACTGCGAACAGAACCAGATTGATAACAGCTGTGCCTATTAATTTTATTGGGATTAGACATAATTGCATCCGGCGAACAGCACAAATTTTGTGCAATTGTTGACACCTTTTTTTGCGGATTCTTATCCCAGCATTCTTTCGCGCTCGTATTCGACTTTTCCGCTTTACTCGGGGACAACCTTAATTGAAACAGCTGTATACAACCTGAGAAAAAAATGGGTGGACCGACAAGAGTAAAACAACCCGTAAATGCCCCAATACTTGCGAGAAACAAATTTGGTTCAGTGTTTGTTTATAAAATTATACTCAATTAACAACTTGGGATATCCCATGCGTCATGTTACTATCATATTCCAATTAGACTTTCCAAAGTCATTTCCAGATCCTTCCGTGGCACGCTTCACTTCCGCTGTGGAAAGGACTTTTGTCACTTGCAGCAACCCAAATATTACCGGTGACGTTTTGTTTACCTAATAGGCAGATTTAGGTAGAGGACGCGGACGTCAAAGACGACGTGCCGGAAAATGGCGTATTATACACAAATGGTTTTTTTAAAAGCAAACAGGGTAAACAATGTAAATACGATTTGTAGAACACAAAAACCATCTGAAAATACAGAAACAAACATTACGTTGAGTATATAAAGTACAGGGTGAAGAAGTAAACTTTAATACTATCATCGAAGAGTACATCTGATGATTCAAAATTTCCTCACTAATTTCGGGTTTAATTTGGGTTTCTTAATCTGGATTACTGATTATTACAAATTCGTTTGTTCGGAAACAACGCGTTCTTTTACTGGATTTTGAACTCTAGTGACGTCTTCTCGTTGATCACAATCGTCGCCCCTCTGCCTTCCGTTGGTTACATTTCTCTGATTCTTTTCAATAAGAGTAAGACTAGTTTCTACTACGTAAAATCGCTCGCGAAAGTAGTTTTCTTGTTGACACAATTACGGCATACATTGTTAATTGACAAATATATAATTATAATATATATATATATATATATATATATATATATATATATATATATATATATATATATATATATATATATATATATATATATATATATATATATACTGCTGTGTGGTATGGCATCATGCTCTACCTTTGTACCTCGCCGATGATTTAGAGCGAGTGCAAAAACGAGCGCTGAGGATCATTTTGCCGGGTTACTCTTATAGGGAAGCATCAGCGCAACTTGGGTGTTCCAGATTGGATGAAAGGCGAGAACATCATTGCCTCAATACTATGAAACGCATAGAAATTGAAGGACCACTGTCAAAACATGTTCCATTGTCTAGGGCTAGTTCAAATGATTATGAACTTAGAAACTCTAACACATTAACAACAATAAAATGCCGAACAGAACGATATCGCCGTAGCTTTTTTCCCAGTACAGTAGCTTTATATAATAGTTAGAGTAAAGAAACGTAAGCGTGATACTTAATTACGATGATTTTAATGCAATTCAATAAGATTTTTAGACTTGGTGCGTGCAACTTAATTTTTTATATATGTAAATATATATAGCGAACCAATTTTGTAAACGCACCATAATTCAATCTATTGCGAAGGTGTGTATCTTAAACCATTAATAATAATAATAATAATAATAATAATAATAATAATAATACGCATTGTGCGAATGCTCAGTGCTTGCAGTTTGAGTACTCTGGCAATGGTTTGATGTCCCACATTCGTGAGGCATCAAAGGTAACTATTAATACTAGTTACCTTCATCCTGCTCATCAGCACTACACTGATGAGGCCCAAAAGGCCGAAACGGTACCGTATATATATATATAGGCAAAGATAAAATAAACCTGGTTTACTTCATAAGATTTATTCACTACAAACTTGTTTTTGCTTGTCATACGAAACAAGTTTGTAGTGAATAAATCTTATGAAGTAAACCAGGTTTATTTTATCTTTATCTATATTAGCTCTATACTTCGGTATATCGATAATTGTTATATATATATATATAACAATTATACCATGAGCTCGAGTCGTATATGAGCTGATAGCCGACGAGATGCGTAGCACCGAGTCTGCTATCAGCCATATACGACGAGAGCGAATGGTACAATTGTTTTATAATATAGTCTAATAGCCATTAACTGAAGCAATAATTATCCTCTGTTACAATGTCTTGACAATTTGTTCGGCAAAAAACCGCTTGGCCTTGAAAATTTGAATTCATTTTGTTTTACAACTCGAAGACGAAGTGAAAGAAATGGTTTTAGAACAGGTATATCTCACAGAAAAGCTCAGATATATTCTACAGATGTTTGGTAGTATGGTAAGTGCTTGTTGACTGCAAATTCATTTGTGTTTCGTTGCAAACGTTTCTGAACAATTTATATTCTCAATGAACATGTTTTTTCGCTGTTGTTTCGGTATTAATTCTTTAAAACAACTTGTATTTAAACTAATTTCTGTGCAATAAATGTATTTTGCTAACCTGTCAAATTTTTTTGAGAGTTTTTCCTTGTACTATTATCTTTCTCAAAGCGAATATTTTCCTTTTTCTGCTTCGCAAACTCTCATGTAGTTTTTGGACCGCTATCTTGTTTTTCGCTACTCGCCGTATATGAGCTGATATACGGTGCGTAATTCAACCAATCAGATTGCAGAACAGCTCATATACGGCGAATGACTATATTATCTCTCTCTCGACATAATCTTTCTTGATCGTTGAGTTTCAGCAATGTAAATGAAAGGAATTTCATAGTCCACAACCGGTCTTAATCATGTGCTTTCATAGTCTAAACACAGCGATGTTTGTGAAAGCAAAGTCCCGTTATAAAATAAATCCTTTGTTTCAATATCGGACAGGATACACTTCAACTATAAACAACCATATCGTTCGTTTAATACCGTTTGATCAACAGCCGGTGTAGAAGATATTGATTTTTCTACGGCGATACGTGCTAAACTTCGCGCGCGTGTGGAGTCAGTTTTCCTTGCAAGTGAAATATGATCCAGCTTCTCGCTTGAAATGTAACGCAACATTTATTATTGATGACATTCAGTAGCATGGAAAGCTGGAAAGTATGTGAAAACTTCAGTTGATCAAATTTGTGCAAACATTGTACATATATATTGCATCGCAATTGTCGTGAGTACTGTGGCAAGATAATCTTCAATTAGGCCACAGAACCAGCGATAAAGTCTCCCAAAAAATTTCCCGCCTCAACAGTTTTCATATTTTGTCACATTATATATCGCCTTTTAAGTGCTTTGAAACTGTTGAAGTCGATGTCGTGACAAGCGAATTCGGTATATTGTGTACCTGCATGGGGTCTTCTAGCAACAGCGCTTTAGAAAGCTGGCCGTTTGGCATTTGCATAAAGCAGTTAATTGCTGAGGCTCGATAGAAAGGAATGACAAAGGTTTTTGTTGATAGACATTTCGAGCAAAAATCGCATTCATATTTTGTCTGGTCAACAAAAGAAGATACGTATAAAAATATTTGAGCGTTCTGTAACAAAAATGATTGTCAAATACATGCCAGCAGACCTATAAAAACCGACATTTTGGCATTGGTATATTAATCAGTTCATGCATGGCTGTGGCACAGATTAATTGGTTCGACCAAAATAATTAAAGTAAAATTGTATGGCACCCTTAGTAGGTAAAGATAAATAAGAGTATATTTTCATAAAGTGTGAGTTTTCAGCTAGCCGGACATGATATCAAGCATCTCGATAGACAACAAAAATCTAATTCGAATATTGTTGGCGAGATAATCTAATTGTCGCGGGTCGCGGGTTTTATTTGCAGGTATTTTCGCGGGTCGCGGGTTATTAACAAAAGTTGCGGGTTTTGTCGCGAGTTATTAACGAAAGTCGCGGGGGGTTTTCCCGGGATTTTCTAATTTCCCTGTCAGCTATGGCGTTCCGTTGCGGACAAAAATACGAGTTAAAATATTCAATTCGAAGTCGAATATTTTGGGATCGAAGTCGGGAATACGATAATCGAAGTCCAAAATACGATATTCGAAGTCCAAAATACAATAATCGAAGTCCAAAATACGATATTCGAAGTCCAAAATACGATAATCGAAGTCCAAAATACGATAATCGAAGTCGACTTTTTTTCATCGAAGTCGAGAGGAAGTGAAAAAATAATATTCGAGAGGATACGGAAGTTGTCAGGAGAAAACCGGAAATAGGGATTTATTGCCTGGGGACAAAGTTCCGTAGGTATATAAAAAGGCTTGCATTTATGCCTATTCGCCGGTTATTTTTAAAATACGTACGTAAAAATGGCGCAGCGATGGCTTCCAAATTTTGAAGAATTTTTTTACTCTTTGGGACGACTTATTGAAAATGCAGAGAGGCAGTTGCACTTTCAAACTTGCTCGGAATACTGTACCTTATACGCCGTCTGGACGAGTACGAACGAACTGTATCGACTTTGCTATCAAGGCTAAACGAAACTTATCAAAATATGCCTGATGTACTTCGTTCTTTTCAAGACATCGAGTTTCTTCGAAATCGCTTGGGGGCACTGCGTCAAGAATTTGAAGGTCGATCCAACAATATGCAAGATGACAACTGTGAAGAGGAATACAACTTGCGCAGTCGCCTAGAAAATACAAATGAAGGACGAGGACGGCGAAGGGTTGAGATTGCACAATCCCAGCTTGAAGCATTACACAATGCAGGAGGCTTTCGTTGGAATGATGCTGCGCGTATGTTACAAGTTTCAAGCAGAACCTTGGGCCGACGAAGACACGAATTGGGCATGAGGGTTGAAGGAAGAGAGTTCTCTGATATAAGTGATATCCAACTTGACAATGTTGTTCGAGAAGTGCTGCAGTCTACTCCGTCTGCAATATTAAGGCTTGTTCAAGGATCACTTAGACACATACCTAATTTTAGTGTGCAGTGATAACCAATTTGTGCAGTGATAAAACTAAAATGTGCAGTGATAAAATGTAAAATGTGCAGTGATAAAATTTGCTGTGATAAGTTGTTAATTAACAATTAACACGAAAATCAGGCAATGACAGAAGAACTCAGCTAAAAATTCGTCTTGACACTCCTTGACAGTATTAATCTAAACATTTTAAATGAGAATAATTTGAATGAAATTGAAATGATAGCTGACAAATTATCGAACGTGCACTAATATTATACTACTCCAGGTTTATCAGATGTCGAACAAAGTCTCGCACCAAAGGTCCCTTTATGAGCCTGGATGATAAAGTGAATGATACTTATCGTTTTGTCATTAGTGTGTAATCTTCAGAATTCTATAGAATGTCTCCGCACATTGCATAAAATTCCCTTTTAGAGAGCATAGATTACAAAATTTTCTGTGGGTGCATGCCCTTGGAATTCCTCTAGAGGTTTGTCAGTCCTAAGCTGTCTAAGCTGCCTCTCATTTGCCAATACGAAAATATTTCTTTCTTGCAAGTATGTGATTATGAAACTATGCCGTCACAGATAGTTGAATCTATAGGTGCTGTCAAAGGGGGCAATTTTTCCTTGGGCCTTAGTTAAAGGGGGGCCGAAATAAAGAATTAAGTAAAATATAGTATACACATATATATAACTGTCAAAGGACTTCCAGAATGCAGGATTTGGCCATTTCTGGGACCTCAGATTATAAAATTTCCCTGGTCCCTGGGGAGAATGCCCGGGACCCCCTAATGATAGTGTTAGAAGATGGAATCACGTGGGGCACCAAGTAAAATTTGGCCATGGGTACGCAAATGTCCCTGGGCATGCCTGAGTGTTGTGCAGTGTATGTTGGTTTTTGGCATTTTTGAATATTAATTGTAGCCTGTTTTGTGCATAGTTACACATTATAAAGTGTGTTCAGAAATTTTTAGGGCGTGCTTCTGCTCGGCTAAACTTTGCGCAAAAATGTGCAGTGATAAAAAATTCTTAAAATTAGGTATGCTTAGACAGCAAAGCCTTGTTGTTCAAAGATTAAGGGTACTTTAATCGTTAAGGAGAGTAGATCCAGTCGCTTCTACTTTACAAAATGCAAGGCAAATAATCCGAAGAAAGTATAACGTCAAAGCTCCCAATTCATTGTGGCAAGTATAATTTCTTTATTCATACTTTTACTGTAATAGTTGGTTAGAGCTTTTGTTTGGGATTGCAAATATATATGGTTCCACCCCACCCCTTACCATCTAAGAAATTGTATTTTTGAAAAATCTGACAAGATCAGCCTGTTGACATATACTGTACAGTAGGACGCTGCACTTAGTGATGGTTCACCATGTTGCAATTATAAGTAAGCAATTACTATTGTCATGAAAGAAACTGTTTTATGTTAAATGTGGGTACGCCAAAACTTTGTTACACACTCAAGCAACAGCAAAGTTTTGATACAGTGTCTGCACAAGAACTTAAGCTAAAAATGTTGGATATTTTATTCTAGGCACATAGATGGAAACCACAAACTAATTCAACCATACAGAATAGTTATCAAAGGAGGTATTGATGGCTATTCACGTTTAGTTGCTTTCTTGCAAGCATCGACCAACAACGCCGCTGCGACTGTGTTGAATCTATTTCATTCAGCAGTTGAGAGGTACAACCTACCATCTCGGGTTCGTTCTGATCTTGGTTTGGAAAACATTGAAGTGGGAAGATATATGCTTGAACAAAGGGGGATTAATCGTGGAAGTATCATTACAGGCACATCTGTTCATAACCAACGCATTGAGCAACTTTGGCGTGACGTCAATAGAGTTATTGTTTCTCTTTTTCTGAATATTTTTTTATATCTCGTGGGGAATAATATGCTAGATCCATCGAATAAAATGCACTTGTTTGTCCTTCAATTTGTATATCTAGACTTAATTAACAGTGCATTGGATCAATTTCGTTCACAGTGGAACAATCATCCAGTGTCAACTGAATGCAAGTTTTCATCACAGCAGTTGTGGATCAGGGGTATGATAACTCAGAGAAGTTCATCATCTACCGCGCAGTACAAGATGTAGTGCATCCTTCAATTTTAGGCATTGATGAAGATGGTCCTGTCCCAGAACAACAACAAAACTACCAAGTTTTGGTTCCTCAGTATTCAATTAACATTACAGATGAGCAATTACATCATATTAGAAGAGAAATTCAGGCAGTGAGCGACAATAATGGAATCACGCAATATATTACAGCTCTTAACATAGTAAGCTCTATTCTTTAATTAAAGCTGATGCCAGTCATTCCAGGCATTAATATAAGTTTTATAAACCATACTTTTGAAAGATCTCACTAAAGTAAACTCCCGTGGCATATAAGGCGGGGTCACGTTTTTGAGCGGCGAACGCCCTTCAATTCGGCGTGAGATACTCTGCCCCCCCCCTCCAGGTAAGACTTTGTTCAATTTTGAAAACATTCAAGAAAGACATATTTAATGATCTCAAATATGGTCAATAGATCATACATGTAAACATTTTCCTCACTTCTTTCTCATCCTCAAGGACACTTATTTTGATTTACCAAGACACACTTTTGGTTCACAATGACACAAAGTGTGCAAAACACATTATTAAAAATGCCTGGATTGAGCGATTACGAAATTATGCCAATAAGACCATCTCTAATGCCGCTTTTCCACTTGCGAATTTTTTCGTGCGAAGCGAATTTTTCATTTGTCTTTGGTCCCTCAACTGGAACCATGTGGAACTAATTGGATAAAGACAAAAGAAAAATTCGCTTCGCGCGAAAAAAATCGCAAGTGGAAAACCGGCTTAACACTTGACATGAGCAAATAATATAAAATGTAATAATTATATTAGAAATTATTAATTATATTATGTAATAATAATATTAGAAACATTTAGTAGCATATTAGGCACCCTGGAAATATTTTTAGGGGAACATAGTAGGGTGCACCTAGGACCTTGTCTCATTATCACCTAAGTCATACGTAATGCAAACTGCAGTTACATACCCTGTTGACTAGCATCATTTATAAAACTTGCTAGCATTGCGTACATTGTGGAATCTTCCAGCTTGAAGACAATACTTTGCAACACAGCAGATGCGCTCACAGCATTCTCATTGTGTAGGAAAACTTCCTCAAACTGGCTAGGGTTTTTCCTAATTTCTTCAAGGATTCCTAGCGTCTGGAGACCCTTTGCAAAATTGTCTAGCATGACAGCTCTCTTCACAAGCACATGATAGGACACCATGGCTTCAGCAATGGCAATGCTGTTGTCAACCTAGAGGTGAGAAAGCAAATGTTTAATTTGTAATTTCAAAATATTACAGACTGTTAGGCTTGAAAGTTCAGTGACACAGTAAGGCATATCACAAGCGAGGATAAAATGCAATTAAGGGAGCGGTCACAATTAAGGGAGCAGTCATTGTATGTACTATTTATTTCCATCAAAGGGGGGTTGGAAAATTTACCTCCCCCCCCCCCATAAATGATGACCACTCCCTAAACAAAATTGATTTTTCAGAGTGCATATGCTGCAGTAGGCATTTCGCAGTATGGGGTAGAACTGTACATACATTCGGTAAGGTTACCAATCCACTATCTTGGAGAACATTTAGGAATGGTTCAGATGAATTCAATTCTTGGAGTTCATCATTTTCCTTAGCTGATATCAACTATATATATAACAAACTATATAACAATTACTGAGTACTGCATGTAGTCTGTGTTTAGGGTGATGCTATGCAGTTGCAGATAGAAGGTACTGTATCAACCCCCACATTTTGACAGTCTCTGCCTAATTTTAAGCGTTGGTAATTTGCCTTCCAATTCCCCACCACCCATCAGTGGCCCTGAAAACAATAACCAACCTTCCAACTATTATTTGGACCACTGAGTTCAGATTATACATTGTCATATTGTTAGGCCACTACAAGTTAATCTTTAGTTTCTGGTCCGCCGCCCGCGTCCTTTCTCCGTAAAGTATTATTTCAGGACTATTTTGTTACTTACAATTAATTTCTAGTTGTTGAAAATTTCCGCGAAGGATTTAACTTATAGAACGATAAATATTCAATTTACACTAAAAAGACCTAGCAAAATGTAGTATTGAATGGTAAAAACCGCTGCCTTATCGATACTACGAGGTAAAAAAAACTGGAAATATTAATAGATCATTTTGATATGTAAAATCCTTTGTAATCTGTCATTCATGTCGATTTATAAATAATATGAATGCAATTTATGTAAAATTTCATAACATTTTGATACAATTAGCATGAAAAGAGACAAGAAGGACCACAAAAATGTGGGCAAAGCCACAGGTTAGGTGGAAAACGCGGACATGCGGACACGCGGACATGCGGACACGCCAGTCAAGTGGAAAACGCGGACATGCGGACACGCGGACATGCGGACACGCCAGTCAAGTGGAAAACGCGGACATGCGGACGCGGACATGCGGACGCGGACACGCGGACACGCAAGTCAAGTGGAAAACGCGGACATGCGGACACGAAATTTACTAAACTTCAAAAAATCTATTACGACAATAATTAATAATTTTTCGCGTGATATTGA